ATGATAACCTGCTTATCTAATTGAATAATAGTTTTTCATACGGAAGAACAACTAGCGAATGGCACGAGCAGCTGGCTATCGAGATGAAGAATCACTTCGCTTTTTGTTTGGGGCTTGTCACAAAAACGTTGTCCTCCGCACTCAAGCCTTTGAAACAATTTCCAAAACTCTAGATGGTTGGTTTGATGGATATGGAAGCCCAAAGGATGGCAATGCTTTATTTGAAAATCATCAGAATGGAGAAGTTCTAGATAGTGTTGATTCTATGAGACCATTGATAACGGAGCAGCTGCCTGATATTTTACGTCTGGCTGAAACCTGTCCATTTCCCGATGTCAGAGGAAAATGTGAGAGTCTTTTAAGGGAGCTTCAGGTAAGATATTTTCACATGCTATCTATTGGAAGACTTACACCTGCCACAACCGTCGCCATGTTAATCAGTGTTTTTAAGTAGCAGGATCCTGCCATGACCGTGGTAGTGTTATCGTGTAAGCCTGGTATAACCGTGACAGGCTGGTATAACCGTGACAATGCTGTATTATATTGCAAGGCCTGTAATGGCCCTGGAAGTGTTATCGTGGAAGCCTGGCGCGACCGTAGCCTTTATTGTGGTTTATAAGCAAATTTGAACATTAATGTATAGTAGTAATTTTGATTTTGACATGATTAAGGTAGTTAAACACCATAGTATTAAACTGTTTAATTGTAATGACGATCACTTAAAATTGTTAAGGATATTCTTGGCATTAATGTCATACATATTTACTAGTCATTGCAATACATTATAACGGTCATAGTAGGACTAAGCCTAAATTTCTACATTACCACCCTCATACCTGGCCTTGCAATACTATATTACATTGTCACGGTCATACCAGGCTTTGCGATCCCATAATACATTGTCACGGTCATGCCAGGTTTTCAAATTGTCACGGTCACTTTGACTTATAACAATCATAAATTTCTACATTACCACTCTCATACCCAAACTTGGAATACTATATCACATTGCCACGGCGGTCATACCAAGCCTAGCAATACAATATTACATTGTCACGGCCATGCCAGGCCTTCCAGTACTATATTACACTGCCACGGTCATGCCAGGCTTTCACGATAACATTACCACGGATCCTTACGCTACTTAAAACACTGAATAACATGGTGATGGTTACGCCAATCGTTAGTCTTGCAACAGGGACAAAGTAGAATTATTTCTTTATGGGGATTCAAACCATTCTCAAAATTCATTTCGTTCATTGCGTACCTTCACTTCCTCTCTGACGTTGTTAAAATACTGTACGCCCGGTATTATTCGCGTGCGATTAACTTTCGCGCTTTTCGCGATGGTGTTAAAATCGCGAAAAATTATCGTCGCGAAATTGCCAATTAAATCCCCGGGAATTTGTTTTTACCCGGGGCTCTGATGCATTTCGTCAACTTCTGATCCCTCCATTCCTACATCTGTGAGAAGAACTACAACATGCATTTAGTTTTGTGTAAAACGTTTCGTCTAGTGTTATTGGGCGATGATTTCCACCAACATGTAATACAAAATACGAATTCAAACTGCTTTTTCGTTTTAAAATAAGACCGAAGTTAACGATGCGGATGATTTCCACTAACATGTAATACAAAATACGAATTTAAACTGCTTTTTCGTTTTAAAATAAGACCGAAATTAACGATGCGATAATAGAAGTTGATATGCAGCTTGCCGATGATAAAGATCCCAGTTATTGTAAATCTGATCCAACTATGACATCAGGTAAGTGCAATTACTGTAATTTAGCTTGAGAATTCCGAGAATAATGAATTTCAAACTTGTGAAATTCGCGAAATTTAATAGCCGCGAAACCGTGTTTTCGCAAAATTCGCGAAATTAAAGCTCGCGAATATTACCGGGCGTACAGTAGTTCTAAAATTCCCGGGTCACGATCTGAGAAAGCTTCAGAAATTAGTACGATCTGTAATACTCTAATCAACAATGCCAAAACTTTAATATAACATAAATTATAACGTTTACAAATGATTTTACCATTGAAATTGGTAATCAATGTTGTAGTTGATGTGTTTTTAGGTAAAAATCTCCGCGAAGCAACAAATTGTAAAATGTCAGGATCGATTATCACTGGGTTCAACACATTACTACACGTTTTCAAGATGGAGGTGTCAAAATTTTCTGAAAACGCTTCAAATAATATTACGTTAATTCCTGGCGAGTTCACCAATATCATAACTTGTTATCAAGTAACAAGATAGAGAAATATGTAAGAAATTCAATTTTATCGATTATAACATCACATCGACATGTGGTATTCTTTTATTATCCCATCGAACGAAGTTCGGAGGGATATAGGGAACGCCTCCGTCCGTCCGTCCGTCCGGGCAATAACTAAAATACCGTTGGCCCGATTTTGTTCATATTTTGTACACATATACCCTATGGGAGAAGAAGTTCTGCTCGGAAGCCAATTTTCAAAATGGCCGCTCATTTCAAAATGGTGGCCATTTTAGTGCCGATTTTACTGTAATTTAGGTGCAATATGTAAAACTCTAATAGCAATATGTTATAAATGTAAAAAAGTTATATAGGACATTAATAAAGCTAGAAATGTAGATATTAAAAAAGCACATGGCAGCCATCTTGAAAAATGGCGGCCTTTACTCGTTAATTTACGATTTTTGCTGTAACTCGAAAAGTAGTGGAGCGATTTTGTTCATATTTGGTATGTGAATACTATAAGTGTGGCACACTGTCCTATTACACTTTTGGTAGAAGGCGGCCATTTTGAAAAAAGTTTTGAAAAATGGCCGCCATTTTAACACATTTTACTATAACTCGAAAAGTAGTGAAGCGATTTTGTTCATATTTGGTATGTGAATACTAAAAGCACGGCACACTGTCTAATGACACTTTTGGTAGAAGGTGGCCATTTTGAAAAATGGCCCCATGGTATTTTACTATAACTTGAAAAGTAGTTCAGCGATTTTGATCATATTTGGTATGTTTCATATTTTATATGTGAATACTATATAAGCATGGCACACTGTCTAATGACACTTTGGGTAGAAGGCGGCCGTTTTGAAAAATGGCCATCATTTTTACGTTTTTTACTATAATTTGAAAAGTAGTGAAGCGATTTTGTTCATATTTGATATGTGAATACTCATGAGCCTTGCACACTGTCTCACGACACTTCAGATAGTAGGCAGCCATTTTAAAAAATGGATGTCATTTTTACATTTTTTACTATAACTCGAAAAGTAGTGGAGCGATTTTGTTCATATTTGATATGTGAATACTCTAAGCATGGCACATTGTCTAATAAAACTTTGTACTCGGCCATTTTGAAAAATGGCCACCATTTTTATGTGTGTTATTTTACAAGTACATGTGTGCGATTTTTCAAAAATTTTATGTGTGGCTACTTAAAAGCATATAATTTCTTCTGATGACAACTTGGCTAGTGAGCAACCATTTTGAAAATGGTGGCCTTTCTGTTGTGTTGTTTTATGATATTTGCTATATATTTCGTTTGTAAAAATGCCAGCCATTTCTGTTCGATGGGATTTGCTACGCTTTGGCGTTGCCGTTGTTCTGGTTAGACTTTGAAAACTACGAATATCGGGATGACGTCACTTCAAAACGAACTGCATAGCAATGGTGTTAATAAACAATTTCTGATCGGAAGTCCTTGCAAATTCTTAAGTATTCACTTATTTTTAACAGTTTGTTACGAATTACTTAATATTTTTCTGATGAATGAATTCTTACTACATTAGAAATAAACATTTTATAGAATATAACGAATAAAATCAGTAGCAAACGCAATGAAATATATATTTTTTGAAGGAGATCAAAATATTTAGAAGGGTAAATTTCGCGGGAATTTAAAGAACTGCATGAGGTAAGGCACAGGAGGTACAGATTGCACTAGACGAAAGGCTCGGAGATTGGATTCAAACTTAACTAAATCCACTTGTTTGAAAATTCTCAAGCTCACTGCATCATTTTTAGAAAAATATGCAAATGTGTAGGTTTCCCTCCCACCACTCACTTCACTCTTGAGTCCTTATTTAATTTTTTCTTCACCCTGGAATTATTAATCAAGTGGCTGATAATGCCTTGAGCAAAGCCACTACAAGTGTATAATGTTTGTACTTTATGTATTTGTAAAATAAATTCTATGAATAAAAAAAGACTTATCTACACCTTCTACTTTTTGTCAGAGAGCTGAGTAATCATCATCGGTTACTAAAGCTGTAATGCGATTTTTTGCCTGTGGATTAGAGCTGGCACGGAACGGAACGATTTTGCCTTCGGAAACGGACTTTCGGACCTACCTTCTCATATTCCGATAATTTTCGGAATTTTTATTTTCCTTAAAGAACATTTACTTATCGTTATAGCGACACGCTAACTCGGTCATTAACATTTTGCCATTAGTTTTGAACATTTATGCCACTTGTTCTGGCAGTTAGATAGTGTCAGTGTTTGTATTTAATAAACTTAAATATATATAGTTGAACACTGCTGTTCCAATAGTAACAAAAATGAGAACTAAGGGAAGAAGTAGGAACTATTTTAAATAAGGTCCGAAATTCCGAAAGTTCCGAATTCCGAAGCCAAGTTCCGAATTCCGTTCCGTTCCGATTCCGTTCCGTTCCGTTCCAGCCCTACTGTGGATAAATGTCCTATTTCCAGGTCATATTACCTTTTCTTCATCTCATCCTCTAAATTTCAAAATGGTTGATGATTCTAAAAATTCTCATGACATGACAAGTCATTATATTAAATATAAACTTGACCATCATATACCTGTCAACCTGGGAACACCTAAAATGAGTAACTTATAAATGTTGAGCACCTTCCTTCAAATTGTGAACACCTTGGTCCAAATAAGAACACCGTGGTCCAAATCTTGGACACATTGGTCCAAATTTTGGACACCTTGGTTCAAATTTTATTGCTTATATCCACATTCTGAATGCCTCCAATTTTTCAGTCTCACTTTGCTCTCCTTCAAATATAATTCACCTGAAAAATCCACATTAACTGTGTTTGATTATTTTGGCATCCGTTTTTTGGCATTCGTTTTTTCAGCCTGAACTGAACTGGGACTCGACACCAAAATTTCTACTGGAGTAGAATGATAAATTTGACGATCGAGTAGACGATTTTGGCTATTATTTTTTTTAAAAATTGAGAAAATTAGAACCTGGAAATCAAGGCATTTGTCACTTAAAATCATGAGTATGGAGGGTAAATCACGATTTTTCTCTGAAATTTTCAGGATCACGATTTTTAAATTTTCAATCGATTGATCATTTTTCTAGGCTCATTCGAGTTCTTGTCGATTACCCGAGTCA